ATTATCGCTTTATTTTTCATCTTAAAAAATAAAATAACCAAATTTTTTCACTTTAACGGCCTAGCGGGTTAAAGCGCTCGACTCGCAGTCTGAGGGTCGTGGGTTCGAATCCCCGTCACCGAACATGCTCGTCCTTTCAGCCGTTGGGCGTTATAACGTGACGGTCAATCGCACTATTCGTTGGTAGAAGAGTAGCCCAAGAGTTGGATGTGGGTGGTGTTAACTATCTGCCTTCCCTCTAGTCTGTTTCTTCTAAATTAGGGACGGCTAGCGCAGATAGCCCTCGGGTAGCTTTGCGCGAAATTTAAAACAAAGAAACCTTTTTTATTGTAACTACAAGACGAGTTTAACCTAGGTAGTTATCGAATAATAATTTTAGTTCGCTTTACATACGTATATACACACAACCTACAACTACACCCGAGCGCTAAGTATCCTGAAAAAGCTTTATAGTGTACTATGTTTGTTTGTTTTTCATAGTACTTCAACAGTACTTCTAAAAAACGTAGTACTGATATCTTTCTATATTATCTAGAAATAACGTTGTAATCAGTTTGTTTACACCTTTATAAAGGTTGCTTTTACTATCCGAGCAGATTATGTGCAATCGTATTACAATTAATGTGAAAATAAACTTGTAACATAACTAATGGAACTGACCACGATATACCTAACATAAATGGTTAACTCCTCCATGATGTTCTTAACGGACAAATTCAAGGATCATACGTTTAATTAGTCAGCAATGACGTTTCCATTTCGTTATTGATCTTGCCTGCTGTTACTTATCTTTTGTTTTGTTCGCATACCTCGATTTTTCTATTTCTGACTGCTGATCCTGATATATATATATCTTCAGTTTTTATCCTGATCTTTCAATATTTGACTACTGATCATAATCTTTATGTTTTGGGAGCAGACCCTGATTTTTCTGATTTTTTACTGCTGATCCTTATCCTTGTGACTTGAGTGCTGATCCTGATTTTTCTATATTTGACTGCTGATCCTTCTCTCTAAATCTTGGACTCTGATCCTGATATTACTTTGTTTTACTGCTGATTCTGATATTACTTTGTTTTACTGCTGATTCTGATATTACTTTGTTTTACTGCTGATTCTGATATTACTTTGTTTTACTGCTGATCCTGATATTACTTTGTTTTACTGCTGATTCTGATATTACTTTGTTTTACTGCTGATTCTGATATTTCTGTATTAATTGCTGATACTGATCTTTTATATTTTTTTTACTGTTGATCTTATCTGTATATGTTGGGAGCTGATCCAGACTTCTCTACAGACAAACGCAAAAAAAACGTATTGTGTGTGATGAATATTGCTTAATGTCTACCTCGAGTTGTTATACGTAAACTCGAACGACTAAAATATACCGTTTCGAGTCAAGCTTTAACTACTAAGTCAACCCACGTAAGTCTTACGTGACGTCTAGAGTATGTTGCGGCGAATCTAGCGTAATTTTTCACACCACCCATGAATTTCCTGACGTAATGATGTTCAAGTTAACGTTGACAGGAACAATGATAGTGTGTCTAAAGTTTCGCTGTTGGCTAATACGGTGTTTCTATCGTAGCAACCGGTGATCAACGTGATGGTTGTATGGGTGACTAACTGACGTGAGTAATCATAACTTGTCTGGTGGTATTCTTCAAATTCTTTATAACTGTCTCTTTCTATCCTGAGCTAATAAAATTAATTAATGTACCATATTTACCGAAATATGTAACAAGTACTTCTTTGGAAAATGGTTTTATTGTGCCACAATCTATTATAATTATACTCAGTTTTTGTCTGTCCTGAAAATGCGCGCGCACTTCATTTCAACGGATGTAAATGTATTCTACTCGACACATTGTATAACAACATATTAAAAGTTATCAAAGTTTTTAAAAAGGTTTGACGTTAGGTTGCAGAAAAACAGTATAAGTTTATTTATCGAGTGTATTAAATACAGTAAAATTTAGTAAAAAACGTACACAAGTTCCAGTGTTAATTCATTTCTTTATCGAATATAGGCCGTACTTAATAAAGGCTTAACTAATGTTAGGCTTAAGACAAGTGGACTTATAGATTTTGGTGTCTGAGATTACAATTATTTTGTATTATTCAAGAAGTTTTGTATTTAAAGAGTGCTGTTGAAATAAAGTTACTAAACGGACCGCAAATTTTTTGTGGGTCTCTACTAGTTTAAAATAAATTTTCTCCAATTCACAACTTCTCCGAAAAATAAGATGAACAATGCTGGTATAATATGTTTACAAGCTTGACCCTATAAACGCTTTGTTTAAAAGTACACTTGATGTAACGATCCTTTCTTGTTCGTTATACTGTCGTGGTCACTAGATGCAACGATCTTTTCTTGTTCGAAATACTGTCGTGGTGAAAATAAAAAGACAGTTTTATTTCATAATATGAACTTTTTAATGACTCAATGAAGAAGATATTGAAATATTAATTACTAAAAGTATTCAACTTGCTAATACCAATTTCAAGTATATGAGATCAACAGAAACAAAATGGCGGAAGATTGTCTGTAGAAGGTGCTGTCGAATAAAAAAAGTATTTTGCATATCCAAATACTAAGATTATAAAAATTCATTTTAGCATGTTTAACTGATCTAACTTATCTGGATAATGATTCTATTTGAGTGTTTCAACATTTTTCAGTATTAATTATGAATAAAAAAATCTACTGCTGAAATAGAATATGCCGGAATTTCCTCATCATTTACCTTATCGTCTAATTCACAGTTTTTGAGTATTCGAACTAGTTTTTAACTGAAAATATCGTACCACACTACTTCGTGACATATAAAATATCTAAGTAATACAAGTTAAAGAGGGGCTAAAACACAGGGGTCATTGAGCAGGGATCAAAATGCAAGGGTTAAAGGTCAAGAAACCTATGTGAACATGATGGTACTGTAAATATGATATAATAGGTAAATCTGGACTATTTAGAAGGTGTTTTCGTGTATATGATTTTGTTACATGTTATATGATGCATAAAATTTACTTCATTATTTCTGGGAATAACTTTGGGCTATAGAGGTCACACTGAATTATCAATATATGATTGCGCCTGTCTTGATCCTTTTAAGTTGTCATTTGCTAAATGTATTTATGGCTATAAAGAGTATAACGCAAATCACAAACCTACCTATTGACCTTGTTTACGCCAAAAAACATGAAATAAATCATTGTTATCATCCCTAAAAATAAAAACCAAATGACTAGTTAATATTAAAACATTACAAAAAATATGTGTATATACATCCAATAAGATGATCATTAATAAACATTTTAACATGTTTGATCACTCTAAGAGAATCTCATGTAGGTTATGATTCTATCAAACACCAGTTCTGTTACTGACTTTTACTCAATGATCTTGTCATTTTTCCTTTTGTCTAGTCGCTGCGCTAGCCGTCCCTAATTTAGCAGTGTATGACTAGAGGGAAGGCAGCTAGTCATCAACACCCACCACCAACTCTTGGGCTACTCTTTCATCAACGAATAGTGGGATTGACCGTCACATTATAACGCCTCCACGGCTGAAAGGGCGAGCATGCTTGGTGTGACGGGGATTCGAACCCGCGACCCGTAGATTGCAAGCCGAGCGCCCTAACCAATATTCTAAGAAAGAAAAAACACACGCTAAGTTGCTTTATTTATATAGGGCCATTTTGCATTTTGTTTTAAAACAAATGTATGTGTTCTTACTATATAGAAATTATTACAGCAATTTCATTACAAACACTAATATTTTTGGAAAAAATTAACTTATAACACAACTATAGATGCAACACATCTATTTACAAGATAGCCCTCCTGTAGCTTTGCGCGAAATTCAAACCAAACAAACAAATCTTAGAATATGTCTATGAAATAATATATCTGGAAACCCGGCTCCGTGGCTTAATAGAACTTTTACGGTTGCGTAAGTGAATAGAAAAGAATAGATTTTAGAACATAATGGTATTTTAAGTTGTTAGTCGTTAGGCGGGAAGACCTTGCGCACCTTTTATATAAAGTTACCGACAGTGTAACAGAATGTATATTATGCCCCAACATATATAAAATATGGTCGAAAATTTCATCCTTGTTAATAATCAACTCTCGAAATTACCTAAAAACAAAAGTTAGGAGTTTCTACGTGAATTATTATTGAAATACATTGTGAGAAATACTTCTTTTGTTCCTAGAAGTAAAGTAAAAATACTTTGTTTAAATGATATTTAAACCTTCTTTCATGGTTCATTTGCGTTTGTTTGTTTGTTTTTGAATTTCGCGCAAAGCTACACGAGGGCTATCTGCGCTAGCCGTCCCTAATTTAG